GGGGGGCGTGGGATATCGGGGTGGGCAGGAGAGCGACTGGGTGTCTCGCCTAGGAGAGGACCTCGTGGCCTTCAACATGGGAGGCGAAAAGCAAGGGGGGAAATGGAAAGAGAGCGCCAAAGACTCGGAGGTGTGGTACAACAAGGTCGAGGACGGGGCGGCATGGTTCATGAGGAAATGGCACAGGCAGGAGGCGGAAGCGTCCGCGAAGCGCCAGCGCGCGAGGGAAGCAGAAGCAGAGAGTACGGCCATCTCAGGACCGAAGAGAAAGAGAGTCGCGGAAGCGGAGGTCGGGGGGAAGAAACGGCGACCGGGCACTGCTGTACAAGCGAGTAGGGCGGCCGAGGCAGCACTTGTGGCGAACTATGTACCCGGCTGATGTTGTTCCGCCCTGTTTCCCTCCCTGCTGTATGCTATACTCCTGCCTGAATGTCCTTTGTATTTGTTTTTTTCATGTCCTCCCTGCCTACTCTGCTGTGTTGGGTGCCTTGATCTCGCTTTTGCTGTTGCCTTATTTATGTACGCCTGGCTTTCTGCCCATCTGCCGCCTCCTTGTCCTATTTGCTCCGTTACTCCCATGCCCTGGTGCGTAGTGCCTGGTACTGGTACGTTACCCTTTGGTTTTATCTTTGGGCGGGTGTGGGAAGCGTCCCCCTTTAGTTTAGTTTTTGTTTTATTTTGATCGGTCTCCGAGGGCTCTTTTCTCGAGCGGTCGGTGCGGTACCTGTTGTTTTCTTTTTCCGAGTGGTTTGTACCCTTCTTTTGTTTTGTTTCCCCGCCGCGTCGTTTGTGCCGGGTTTTGAGACCACGGGCTCCCCATTTTGTTGTGGACTATAGAGCTAATGTGAGAAACAACAACAACACCCAAAGGCACGCAGAGTCGATCCATGCGGCTCATCTCCAATCGATGTACTTCGCACGGACGCGTCAGCGGAAGACCACCCGCGGGAATCGATTGCTGACGTGCATGTCTCTCGGTCGCTCGGGCGCTCATTTAATGTTTGGATGAAGAAACTACGACGTCGTGATAAGAAACTCCTGGCATGCACGGAAATTCAACTACGGCGTGCCATCCCCTCCGCCCGCCACAGCTTCAAAGGTACGAGCACCATGGCAAGCCAATGAATCGGTCTAAGAACCTAACTGCGGGTTACACCACAGCCAGAGGCCGTTCGTGGCACCGAGGGAATGACGCAGAGTTCGTGCCTCGGTTCAGCACTAGTTACGACTGGAGTCAACCGCACTTGCCTCGTCTGTTTCTTGGCCCGCAGAGAAGCTGTGGGCGTTGTTGGCCAAAATGTCATTCGCTCCTTGGGTGTCTCTTAGTTCCGACGAGTACATCATCTGGCTTCACCATTGAGAACAGCAGAGGGCAGGGACAGAATTAGGGAGTGCCCCGCATCATCACGTCGAAGAACTCAACGGCTCCAAGAACAAACGAAAATCCCTTACGCAGGAGCAAGGTATTCGGGTGCCTTCTTTTGGGCAAGACATTGGCAATCTACCCTATACTATAGCCCAAGACTGTTTTCGGTCAAGAAGGTGGTGGGTTTCCTCGCCCGGTCCTTGTCTAACTGCGGCGAGAGGTTTGGCCCAGAATAAGGACTGGTCCAAAGCGCCTGAACACCTGGCAAGGTTAGTTATCCCAACGGGTGAAACTGTTTATGTTACAATTGGCAGGGAGGGCTTTTCTCTTCACAGCTCATACAAAACCCCCACCATCGCTTCCACCCACAACATGCAAGGTCAAAGTCAAAAAGGTCAGGCTTGCCTACATTTGGCCGATGTGTGGCAGTGAGTACACGGCAAGAAGCCCTCCAACATCCACATCGGCGTTCATCTCTTCCCTCGCTTCCCTTGCCGCCCCCTCCTCGCCGGTCTCCCCAAGCTCTAGAAATCCTGTTGACCAAAACGCAACGCGCGATTCGTAAGGCCGAGAGCTGTGATTGTATCCATGCCTTGACCACAGCAGTAGAATCAATCAATGCACGCGACTTGGGAGATTCGCATCGACGAAACCAGGACAATGAGTTTCGACTGCGGTGCCGAGTGTGCCTTGGCATAGGTCTTAATGCCTTTGGTGCCGCCGGGGCGTGACCCAGACTTCGAAAAATCTCTTTATACAACGACGACGAGCGCATCAAGCGTATGACGTTATCGGGAGAATTCGAGAGCTTTCCGCACATGCGCAGGTCCGCACAGGTGCCTTCCTCGCTGCAAAAACAATTAACTCACACATGCCTCACACGGAGGCAAGAACTGGATCAGGCTTCTACTTCATCGCACCTGCAGGTATGCCCCACAAGCCTCGTCGTGGCTGTATGCTGCGGCGGCCAAGTACATAAAAATCGTCGGTTCCGTCGGCGCCTCCCTTCGCAGTAAGCACCGAGCCGCATATGACCTTAGGGTTTTCGTCTTCCCCCGAAAAGCGCAGCGTATCATCGCATGCACTTGGTTATACTTCACAATAAATGTGGTTGCGTCGCAACGAAGGACACCAGGGATACAATGACATAGGACCGCGGCACACCAGGGATATGAAGCCAGTCGGTTGTGATCATCACCTCGAGTGGATGCGGGGTCCCGCGAACGGTATAATAAAGGAGTGGCACGTTGTAAAAGGAGGGCGTGGCATGGGTGGGGGGCTATCACGCCACACCCGCGCGGCCTCCCGCCGAGAAAGGAAATCGAGGCGTCATCTACCTGTTGCTGTTGGGCGACCAGAATTATCCCGCCTTGTCTTGCCAACAACAGAACGAGGCTGTACAATAAAGGTTAGGTACATTGGGGGCCTGCAGAACACGGCGGTAGAAAAACATGTAAGCAGCATACTGCAGTCAATAACGGTCGTTGAGTTATTTATGGGGTCTTCGGACTACCTATGTGTCTTGTACACGATCTGGGAACAATGCCTAGTCCAAATTTCGTTCATGAAACTTGTGAGGAATCGTACGTCAAGCAGTCATGGGTCACTACGGCATACGTGCTTTGCCCTCAACATTAGTCGAGCAGGGCGTATGCATAAACCCAACGGGACTACCACCATAATTACCAAGACATCATCCCCAAGACGCAACAGAGCAGCCCTATTCACGTTTTACCCACTCGTCTCGTGCACACATTGACCAAAGCAAGCAACTGCTGGTGTATTCTGCCGACAGTCCGGGAACCTCCACGCCAACTAAGCGGAGGAAAGAAGAGAGAGCCAAAGGATTATGCAGGCTCTGTTCACAACCTTGTGGCGAGAGGGTCGCAATCAGATTAGCTGACGCGGTCAACTTGGCGGGTTGAGATATGGCGGGCGAACAAGGGTTGCGCATCCACCGACGCGAGCGCCAAGAAGGGCTCGGGCATGTACGGCTCACGAGCGGACGACATACTCATGGGGAAAGGGCAAATTCCATTCCTCAACAACCAGATCGACATGGCGTCAACCTGTCGGTGCACAAAATCGATATTGTAGCTCTGTAGCACAAGCAATTCTGTGCACGAGACGCTGAAGGGTACTTCCACGAGCTGGCGACGGGGAAGGCCTGCAGGCTTAGGATCGCACATGACCCAAGGCGAAAACGCCGAAGAGTGTCTGCAACATCGCGCGAACAATGCGGCGATCTAAGTATCACTCCCGAGATAACCATAACTCATTGCGACGTTGTACAGAGGAATGGACTGTGCCATACGACGTAGCTTTGGCAGGCCGCGAGATCAGAGTCTCTGCAGAACGTGAATCTTTTCTCCCCTTCGGAAAACAAACTCGTATAGCTAACGAAATAACCTTTTCGCGAGTACTCTTGAGGGACACAACACAGAAGCCCTTTTTCTTAAACCAGGTGGCTGCCATGAACCGCAGAGTAACACTCCCGTGGGCCCTCGTATCGGAGCACCTCGTTGAAAGCGCCTGGGAATAACCAGGAATGACTAATGCTGGGCCAGGAAGAGGTGTTGCGAGCTTTCTCGGTGGCGATACAGCACTCACATGCCCTTCAATCTCAAGTCAACTCAGACGCGTAGAGCAACCGCGTCTCAGTGAAACCATTGTTTCATTGAGTCGGGAGATGATGTTTTCGGCAGGTCGCTACGAACAAACCTTTGTGCTTGGTATCAATTCGACTGAAACAATACTTTTGATTGTTCCTCTAGGAGACCGTGACGGTCTCTAGAGGGCTCACAGAACGGTAAAAATATGTGAATGAATGAATGATCACGTTCAGTCCGAAGCTCCAAACCACGCACTTTTTTGACCCGGATGCCCTAGGCGCGAGGGATCAGAATATCGGCCGTCCTGCACTACTTTAGACACCCTCAGCAAGTTTCAGCTTGATTGGGGCCTCCGCGTTAAAGTTTGGATGTTGCACTGACCGACCTGCTCAAGCACGAAACACGAGCATGCAACAGGTGCTTCCCGCACCGCATCGCTACGAGCTCGATCGATCAATTTGGGCCTAAACGTTGCCAATACTCCACCAAACTGAAGCCCCGTCCAATCTACAGCTGAATTGACAAGTCCTTCGACGCTGAAATAGCGTTGTGCCGACCAAATATTGCCTGCCAACGGGAGGTTCGGGGCACACCTCTGCAACCTTACGCGGAGTTTATTCCGCTGCATGTCGCACGCACACAACAGCGAGTTGATGATTGATGACTCTCTCTTTCCTCGTCGAACGCACCCAAGACATAAGTGCATCCATTCAAAGTCATTGTACAATAACTCCCGAACACGTAGCGTGTGCATGAAGGCGCCTACCTGCCATCAAATTCCAATCTAAAATGGGACTCTTCGACGCTGGGATCAGCCTGCCAACGACAGGTCGGGGCCTGCCCCGCGAAGGCTGCTTATTCCGCCGCCGCGTTTGGCGGTTACATATGCATAAACATATTTGTTCTTGTTTTTTCGCGCGCGCGCATAGAGGGATGGAAGGAGCGGTTTGTCCAAGGCGTGTTTGTGTATCTTTCTTTCCATACAGTCATGCACTCACTCTGGATACGTGCGATTGACAAGTCCCTCGACCCTGGAATAGCTGTGTGTCGACCAATTTTGCCTACCGACGAGAGGTTCGGGCCACAACGCTGTAACTTTACGCGGAGTTTATTCCACCGCATGTCGCACGCACACAACAAGTTGATGATTGATGACTCTCTCTTCCCTCGTCGGAACGCACACATCCATAAATAAATATGCGTCCACTGCACAAATGCTTCGATCTCGAACAACTAGGGCGTGTATGTAGGTTTCTACCTGCCATTAAATTCCAGTCTTCGAGGCCGGGATTAGCCTGCCAACGACAGGGTCGGGGAACACCTAGGTCCTCTACTCTTCACCTGCTCCGCGAAGGCTGTTTTTCCGCCGCCGCGTTTGGCGGTTACATACATTTATTTGATCTTGATTTTTCCCGCGCGCGAATAGAGGAACTTCGACCACCTTCGCCTTCAGGGAATTTAACTGGCGGCATAATATGTGCTCTCGTCTCTCGTATATTTTTGGTTGTGTATGGCAATTTTGTCGCGCCGTTTCGAGAGACGTTAAGGTTGGTAGAGGCACATGTGGTAATAGAAACGGTAGGCCAAGCTTTGACAGAAAGGAGCGTCGTTCGTGTGATGTTGCCGCATGCGCGTTTCTGGTGGCTGCTTGTTGGTTTGTAGAAAAAAACATTCTGCAGGCCAGCTTTGGGACGACCATTGATAAAATATGCCATGATACCAAAAGGCATAGTCTATCAGCATTCTTCGTGCATTTATATTGTAATCCACCTCATTTTCTCACACCTGCAGCAGCAGTACATACCACCTAAAAAGAAACTCCTAGAGGACCAGCATGGTTGCCCGAGGCAAGCTGCGATAAAGTTGAAAATCAATGGTTCTAGACAAAATTCGTGGACGCACCCCCTCACGTGCTGCGAATCCTTCACAAAGCACCGCACGAGTGCGTACGCCTGGTGCTTCACTCCGAACTCGCTTGGAGCAGCTGGACTCTATTGGCGCGAGGTTTTGAAGGTCAAGATTCGCCTCTCCAAAGGTCGCACGTCCGATTTCAGGCGAAGGAAGCGGCCAAACTAGAGGAAGCGAGAAGAGACCCCACGCTGCCCACAGCTCCCCCGAAGCAAGCGCAGCCCACGAGCTTGGGGCCACGCTCCTCACGTGGTACGCGGGGATCTCGGAGGCAACACCCAGGGGCTCCAGAAAGAGGCAATGTTGGGATAAATGGGGCCGTGCGGAGGCCTGGTGTGGCACGGGCGGCAAGGCCTAACACCGAAGCGCTTTGCCCCCGATGATCCAACAGGTTCAATGAATAAAGCTGGTGCCCCGTGGGGTGCTCCCAGCTGGACGCAAACGAAAACGAAAGGCTGCAGTGAGCAGACTTGCGCAACTGTGCGAATGTACTGTAGGTAGTAGATGTTCGGGAAGAACGTTGGCTTGTGGGGGGGCAACAACATCTGTTTCCGGAAATTCATCGAAGAGAAGCTGCTCCCGTGCGAATACTTACCTTTGTCACGTGATTCACTTTCAGCGTATTGCATTTATTTATCCATTGGAACGTCCCTGACGGTGGCACCGCCTTCTTCCGCAATAAACCGTGCAAACGTTAGACTAATGCTTGTAGATCATAGATCATACAATCCGTCGGTGACACAGTATCTGCATATGCCCAGCGTCCACCTGACAGCAGTCTACATAGAGTGGATGGTGATGATTATCGGGCAACGGCAACGGTCCGTATGCATAGGCCATACGACCGTTGCTTACCCGTCGAAGTTCTACAGAACACCGAGACAAGTCTAATCGGCTCGGGACAATCGGCCAGGATCATCCCTGCCTGAGTGCCGTGGTCTTTCAACGGAGGATTCAACGAGGGAGCCCGATTGCTCCACAAGCACGGGTATTGAAGGGTACCAAAACGACCGACACGTGCAAGGAATAATAACTCTCTATGAGATCTGCGTGTGGTGATGGTGTGACAGCCGTAGTCATTGCGGTGCACATCACGCAAGTCCATCAAGCCATCAACATTACAGTCTACGCATAGCCAATGTAGCAGGGATAAAAAGAGCAGACGCACGTGATATGTAGGACAGCCTTGAGGGAATTTAACCCAACTTCCCTGATTGTTGCTTTATCCAACATGTTTGCTGAATGGAAAAAACTTGCCAAGGCTACTGGGACCGCCTTACAGAGGCATACAGATTTACTGCTGTACATCGTCTGCAGAACCCTTGTGGAATCCCTTGGGGAATCAGTAGGAGACATGTCGCCCCGGTGGTCTAGTTGATAACCTCGCAGCCTGCTAAGGGCCAGGTCACGGGTTCGAGTCCCGCCAGAGTGAGTTTTTTCTCACTAAATAAATCCTGGTCTGGGATGAAAGCGACGCGCTGCAAAGCTCGTTGTTAGACCGGTTATTATGGCTCACAAATGTTGCAAGAAAAGTTGCAAACTTTTTCTGCAACTTTGCCCGGGAACTTTCGTCTGTAACTTTTTTGGTGCACGCTGGTATGGGACGAGGAAAGTAAACTCTGTTGGAATGCGGAGGCGGGTTGGTTCAAATTAAAAAAAACAGGCTACCCCCCCC